TTTGCCGCCCTGAATGGTGTTCCGACAACAGGCGGCAGTATAAAGAGATTTTGGTCGGTCTGCAGCGAGAACCAGACTCAGGGGCCCGGATTAAAGGGCAAATGACGATAAAAAGCCTAATATTTTCAACCTTTGTGATGCTAATAGTTGGAGGCTCACCGGGGGTGATTTCCTCCCGTCTGCTCTGTCCTGCACTACTGCCTCCGCTATTATGAGTTCACGAGTTTTATCTAAATGTTTGTTTACGCCATCGTGTTATCTGATGAACTAACACTCACGCCGTCGCAGCCTGTATATCGGCGGCGTGGACTGAAATGCATGGGCGGCACAGACAGCCACTTTAAGCATGTGACACCTAATTGTGTATTCTGACATGTAACTTAATGGGCTTTTGTCGCCATGCACGTCGGCCTCATCCTTGATGCAAGGTCACGTTTCTGTGACAGATGACTGAAGCCGGACCACTTAACCTTATATCGCGGAGGTAATGAATTGTGCGTTTATGGCTGGAATGTAGCCTCATTGACACCCACGGAAGCGTAATCATAAAATGCGAAAGCAGAATCAAAAGAAAAAAACATGTTTATGAAAATAAACGAAAACGAAAAAAACATAATTCATGAGGAAACAGGAGGCTGTGAAATGAGAAGTTAATACTATACGATGTGAAAGGTCTGGATTTGAAATTTGAATTTTTTTTTTTTTTTAATTCCTTGACCCTGCTATTTTTATTTTTTTACTTTTCTAAGTGTTCACCTTGAGTTTTTGTGTTAGCCAACAGCCTCTACAGCTTTCATCTTCTCTTCAGCCGTCCTCGCATTGAGGTTGTTTTGTACGCGCATATATTTATATTCTGTTTAAACTGCCGTGCTGTACATAAGAACTTTCAAGAAGCTACACAGCATAAAGGTTTTCTAGGGGATTATGTAAAAGTTGGTGAAAAGAAGGTGCCATACATAGAATCAAATCATTATTTTTTTTTAAATTTGATCATGGTGTTTCTAAAGTATAAAGCTCTGTCAAAGTTATCAGATTTAAATGTGTAGCTGAGGTTTAGAGAAGATTAAAACTAAGTTGAGCTAGGAGGTGACACTTTTGTAATGCTAAGAGTTACTAAAGATTCAATAATTCGCAGTGAAAGGAAGTTATTTATCAGTGTTGCCAAAAACAAAACGTAAGCCCAGATAGATAGATAGATAGATAGATAGAATACATAGAATCAAATTATTATTTTTTTTTTAATTTGATCATGGTGTTTCTAAAGTATAAAGCTCTGTCAAAGTTATCAGATTTAAATGTGTAGCTGAGGTTTAGAGAAGATTAAAACTAAGTTGAGCTAGGAGGTGACACTTTTGTAATGCTAAGAGTTACTAAAGATTCAATAATTCGCAGTGAAAGGAAGTTATTTATCAGTGTTGCCAAAAACAAAATGTAAGCCCAGATAGATAGATAGATGGATAGATACTGTAGATAGTTTTTCTGAATGTTTAGTTTACAAATGTGTATTTATTTCTTTACTTTTTAACTTTTGTATATATTGTGTCTAATTCTCTTAATTATTTTGGATGTTATTGTAAAACTATCAAAGTGAGGTGGCAAATGTATTTGTTCAGCTATCATCCCTGACCTTGGCCTACTGTAGATGAGCTGACTCTGTAGCCTTAGCAGCAAAGGCAGAAATGAGGCCACAGCAGTGGCGACTGACTGTCGCGGCTGGTGTTGTGTTACAGATGGCAGTCCTCTGTCCTGGTGGCTGGACAGAGAAGGTGAGAAGAGGAGCTACTGGGGAGGCTTCCTGCCGGGGGTCCAGCAGTGCTCGTGCAGCCTGGAGGAGAACTGTTTGGACATGAACTATTTCTGCAACTGCGATGCCGACACAGACACATGGTACGGCTGCAAACACGTTAATAATTTGGCTCCACACAGAGCGCATTATTTTCGACATCAAGTGTAAAAAAAATGTGATATTGTGAGATTCTATTATTTTTGTGTCAGTTTTGCCGACATCACTCAGAGTGGGATAAATTATTCAGACACTTCCTCATATTTTTCAAGAGCATCGTAAACGTCTTTTGTAACGATGGTCGTAAAGTTGGATCAGCTCCTCTTTGACACAGACTTGTCAGAAAATTGAAAAAAAAAATCACCTTCATGAATGAGGATTTATTGAAGAACTATTATGTTAGACCTTTACTGTACCTAATATACTGGCTGCTGAGTGGACGAGGGTCGTAGAGTAGGACTAAGGGAGGCCACGTGACTTTACTGTCTATTACTGTACACGTTGCTCAATCTCACAGAGTTGGCATTAGAACAATTTTGAAGCCAATGTGATTCATTACTACGAACAACCTCCTAGAAAAGTTGGGCTACTTTCTAAACATGTCATAAAAACGAACATTTGTTACTTTAACCTTAAGTTTAAGGTATTAAAGAGGCTAAGCATTTATTTCATAAAAATGTTTGGAGGCATTTTATTCTATAAATGAAAACTTGAAAGTGTCTGTCTGCACTGTTATAAGGAAGGATTGATAAGAATCCAGTATCTCTGATGGTACAAAGATGGTACCTGTAGCCATGGTTTGGGAATTCCATATCTGTGATGAGCTATACTGGAATTTAGGGTTAAATAAGATGCAAACTTTTTTTTATATATAAAGATACAGATATATATCGCAATTTCTTTTAACCCAATAAAACAGTGTTTCCCAAACGTTTTTTGGGGGGACCTATATTTTAAAAGTCACAAACACTTGCGACCCAAGTCGATAGACATTATTCGTAAACTCTGTAAAAGGAAAACATGATGCGAGGCGACCCCAAAAAAAAATTATTGTGACCCACCTGAGGGTCGCGTCCCAGTCTTTGGGAAACAATGTAATAAAACGCATGACAAATACCGGCCATTTAACATATTTAATACGTATTTTTCAGAATATATTAGTCATTTAAATGACATTATTTTTACACAATGTAACCTTTATGGTTTATTTGCTAACATTAAGGGACAAAGATGTCTTGTAGACTCATCAGATTTTATATTCAGTTTTTTTAAAGCGCTTCTGTTTGTAGAGGGTAATTTGATCACATCAGACAGACAGCTGTTTTTTTAAGAACTGTCTCCTGTCAGTCAGATTAATGGACTTTTTTTTTGCAGATTTTAATCAATTGTCTAAACATTTACTTCTTCACCAAAGTATTGAAATCAATGATATGAAATACCCGGTATTTGGTCTCTAATTCAGAGGATTTCCATTGGTCGATTTATTGAATCTTATGTCAACAGTTTTTTTTCCCCCTGACTTATTTCTTTCTCTATGGCTTTGGCAAATGGACATGTCCTCTCGTATGGTGTGTTTTACATGGCAGCTGTCTGCTCGACAGAAAATACACTGTCATGAATCATCAATCAGAGTTGAGTTTCCCGCCGAGGCCTTGTGATAAATAGGCAAAACCGAGCTGATAAAAATATTCCTCCCTCATTAAACGACCCTCAAGAGAAGCTCGGAGCCAAGTTTTTTTTTCTTCCAATCAACACGCACATATTTAGTCATGAACTTGTTGGAACAGATTCGCAGACAAGTGCTTTATTAATTATAACTCAGGTGCTGTTTTACAATTAGCACAAAGCTAATCGCAATCTTGCATGGCAGTTTTTCATTGGCCTCTCTGAGCGTCCCTGCAGTCTGCGTGTTAATCCACTCCTGCAGAGTCAGCTCAGTTTGCATATTTCCAGCGGCAGTTGTCGACTTTGTGATAGATGGTCCCAGTTTTAATGTGTTTACTCTGCTTTCCCGGCTAATGCAGAAGAATGAGGGCCTTTATCTGGCCCCCCATAAAGGCGTCCAGCCCTCCAGGGCTTCGTGATGCTATTTATTTGTTTCTCACCCCCTCCCCCCTTTTTTTCTCCTTCTCTTTCTCCTTGTTTGAAACAGGGCGAACGACACCGGAATCCTTTCCTACAAAGACCACCTACCAGTCAGCCAGATAGTAATCGGAGACACCAACAGGACCGGCTCACAGGCCGTGTACCACGTGGGCCCTCTGCGTTGTTATGGAGACAGTAGGTGATCACCTCAGCGTTGATGCCACCCCTGCTGCGGGGCTACATTTGGCTGCAGATGGAGGCGTAAACACTGATCAGAGGCGCAGTGCCCCGTCAGATCTTTGGGCTTTTTCTCTCCACCTCAGTTTATCCACGAGGGGAGCGATAAATCTCATCGGTTCGGCTGTAAAAACCTGAGACTAACTAACCTCAGCTAAAGATACCTGCAGGTCTGCCTGTGCGGACTCATGCTGTGTAGAGATGAGAGCAAAGTAGTGATTTTTTTTTAATCCCTCGCCTGCAGTCAAATGTAGTTCATCCCATGATTTAAATTAAAAAAAAAAATACGCATAGATTTTTGATTGCACTGGGCAAAATTAGCATAGTTGATACACACTAATTGAAGATGTGGTCCATCCTGGATTCATCTGTGCAGTGGATCATCTCATTATTTTTTGGACATGCAATCCATGCATGTTTATTGATATGACAGAAGGAAAGGATTTAGTCAACTAAATGTTTAGAAATTGTTTTTATTGTCTGTTACTGAGAGATTTTTCAGCATCATCTGTTGTCTTTAATGTAACCTTAGTCCCTTATTCTATAATATAAGAATTTGGAAATTCACACTGAGTCTTTGTAACCCACACAGGCTGCCACAAGAGGCATAAATATTTTGGGTTTTCAAAATATTTAGGAAAAAATAAAATGGGCAGAAGAGATTTTTATGTTCACCCAGCGACTACAAACCGTCCGTCAAAGTTCAGTAATCTGACGACAGCGGCTGATTTGGACTGTGGTTCATGTTCATGTTCATGTTCACGTCATTTTTCTAATATCTGAAGAATAACCATAATATTACCAACATATAGACCTGGACTCCTTTCATGAGACACTCTCTGTTGTAATAGACATTTTATATGAAAAACTGATTTACATTTATGGTGTGTTTTCGTGATATTATCATTTAACCTTGGTATCACAGCACAACCCACAGCCATGAACTCCACAAACAAAAGGTTATTGAATTTTTTTATGAGCTCTAATATAACGGCTCATTGGAAAAGTGGCATCCGGTAGAAATCATGGTTTTACAAAGACTCCTGTGCTGCAGGAGCACTAACCCTGTCGCAGACTTCACATAATTACAATCCCAGTAGTCGACACACTGTTACAAACAGTGCGTGATTCAAAACAGAGCTGTAGTGACTGGAGACGTGGTTACCATACATTTAAACAAAACCACATCAAATCTCTCTTTGGATCTTAATACAGTAAAAAGGTTAGAAAATACACTTTTTCTGAAACAGTAACTTCACCTTTTTTTCCTCAGAATTATAAGTTTAAATTTGCCTTTTTATTGGAATTTCTTTTTTTCATTTCATCATTTGTTTTTGATTTTAATTGAACTAAATAGTCTTTTTTTCATTTCATCATTTGTTTTTTATTGTTTAAAATTGTAACTGGATTTTTTTTAAAGGATTAAGAAATGATTTTCTTCAATTTTAGGATTTTCGTTACATTTTGAAATTGAATCAAATTGTGGTCACATTTCCATATTTATTGAGTCTATATTCCTTTATTACAATTATTCGATTATAGTACAAAATTGTTTAACTTTCTTATGTGATTAAGTGCAATCCAATCCTTCATCAAACTTGCCTGGTCCAAAACTAATCTCTTTTATTTTCTGATTTCATTAGAACTCAACCTACACATACTGTGTTAGTTTCTCATTCAGCTCCTAAATGGGTGTCACAAGGACATCAGAGCTCACCTCTCTACCCATCAGCCACTGCTGCTAATGGGGTTTTTAACTATAAAATAAAGAACCAACATTGAGGAACAAATCAGTTTGATGAGCCTGGCTGTAAATGAAGCCTCGTGACTGATGTTTACATCTTAATGACTGTGTGAGCTAATAACCATCTCCTGATCCAGGGAATGAAAAGCAGCGTGGATTCATTAACTGCTAAATATTTTTCTTTCCAATTTGATGGAGATGATAAATGACTTGGTCGCAGAACACCTCCATAAGCCCGTTAGCTGCACCTTGTTTTGTCAACCTGAAGTGGAAGAACAAAGACCTGATCTTTGTCAGTCAAGGCTGTAACAATAGGAATTGGAATTGTGAAAAATAACAACTCCTCTCACAAGAGCTAAAAGCTAGATTGCAGAAAGTTAGCTAGATTAGCTAAAAGATAACTAAAAGTTGGCTCAGAATAGTCAAGGTAAACCAAGAAGAATGTTAAAACTAGGGATGGCTCCATACAGCTTTTTCATGTACAATTCCCGATACTGCGATTTGGAGTATCTACTAACACCGATAATAATCCGATACCTGCTGTTGCTGAGATGATGATGTTCCCTGTTTACCGCATGTCCTTTTGTATGTCACAATTTTGATGATTGAATGTGTTACATACTGCAATTCAGATGGCGTTCATACTGTACGATATGCTAGGAACTATTTGATATAAATGTTCAGTTCAGTTTTACTCTAGAAGAAGTGACAGATATGCTTTTATCATTTATTAGTTAGTATTGATATTTGATGATTTGTGAGCATCAATATATTGTTACCATGGAGTCCATTCTCCCATCACTAATTTAAGGCTGTAAGGCTTTACTGTAATCATCGTTTCTTTATTCTACCTTTTACTTTCAGTTTCGCTTAATCGCTCATCTGTCATTTCCTTCTTTTTCCTTCCAGAGTCCATTTGGAACGCCGCCTCCTTCTACCAGGAGTCGTCCTACCTCTACTTCCCCACCCTGCAGGCAGAGCTCTCCTCTGATATCTCCTTCTACTTCAAGACCAGCGCTCCTTCCGGAGTGTTTCTGGAGAACCTGGGCCTCAAAGACTTCATCAGAGTGGAGCTCAGCTGTGAGTCAGTGCACAGAGAACATGTCATGACAAGGGCAAGGAGGAACACGACGGGTTTCAGGGAAGAAAAAAAAAACTGTACATAAAAGCTGTCAGGGGATTTGAGCTTCACTTCTCTCACATGAAAATGCAGGCAGCGCTGCACTGTAGCTGACAGTTCAATTTGGTCGCGGAGCGTGCTGTGGGGTCGGCGCAGTGTGATGTAATCCTAATGACACAGTCAACAGCGGTGTCGTGCAGTCGTGAGGGACGTTAAAAGCATTTCCTTATTACTCGTCCGATGGAGCTGAAATCCGTCATGATTAGAGGAAGTGACATAATCAGGAGCCGTGGTCAGAGTTAACTCAGAGGGACACAGCAGATGCAGGAGAGACAGGTGTGGTTTCTCTCTGTCTTCTCTTTGTCTTACTGCAGGGGCAATTAACAAAAGGAACCCAACGGTTTCATATCACTGAGTGATGTCATTAAGGAAAACGAGAAGAGGAAATTTGGTGGTTAAAGCAGACGAGGGCCACAGAGAGATTCTCAAATGTTGGGATGTATCTTAGTTCGAGGGCAAAAGGCTGACATTCAAAAAACTGACTGGAATCTCACCTTTAAGGCCTTTTTGTTTTAGTTCAAAATATTTTGTATTAAAAAAATTAAATTAAAACATTTAAAAAGTCCAAAAGTTAAATTTGTCACTTTACCAAGTTGGATGATGACCCATTATAGGAGTTTAATCACATTACAATGATAAGACTTCTGATTTTTTTTTATATAAAATAGTTCATTGATGAAAACTCATGCATTCTGACCTGTTCTGCTACATCTTTGAACTTCACCGGGGAGGAAATTTAATGAAAGTAAGATGTCAAAAAAGGCAGAGCTGCATTTTTCAAACAAATCTGTCCACGTTGGAACAGTAATATCTTCTTTGTTTTCCTACTGAGAGTTTATGTAAAATCAGCGCTCTCTCCTTGAAAACTGCTGGCTTTTATTCTCCTTCAAGGAATAAACTGTAGTCTCTCTGTGATTTCTTTCGAACAAAAGACAAATTAACAATAATGGAGAACATTTTCCACATTGTGAAGAGAGGGACTTCCAGCCACGCACCCTTTTTTGTTTATTTATCTGAGCCGTTAAAGGAGATGTGAAATGTGATTACGGCCTGTTTTGTTCCCAAACCTTGAGGGAGGAGCTCTCGGGATATTTCGCCACCATTATGTATGGCTGCAGCATCAGGGCATTGTGAAATATTGACAAGCTGTCAGCTGAGCCCCCTCATAAATCTATTCAGGTCATCAAGTTTTCCCAGCAGCATTGTATCACATTGCATCAGAAAAGGGAGGACAGAGAACGAAGCCATAAAAACCTAATATCACATTCTATCTGTGTGTGTGTGTGTGTGTGTGTCCTGCACAGCTCCCTCAGTGGTGACTTTCTCCTTTGATGTGGGAAACGGTCCGGCGATCCTCTCTGTGAAGTCCCACTTGCCCCTGAATGACAGACAGTGGCACTACGTGAGGGCGGAGCGAAACGTGAGAGAGGCCTCGCTGCAGGTCGACCAGCTTCCTCCGCGGTTCCTGGAGGCTCCGACCGACGGACACCTGCGCTTGCGGCTCAGCAGCCAGTTATTCATCGGTAGGAACGTCACACTGGACGCTCTCTTCACAGTCTGGATTGATAAGGCACTTCTCCAGTCTTGATGACCACCCAGAGCGTTTCACGCCGCCGTTATTGCCGCTCGGACATTTGCATACAGTCACGCATCTACATCTATATGCAGCTCAGCCGTCAGGGGAAATTTCAGCGTTTAATATCTTGCTCAAGGACACCTCGACATGTACAGTAGATTGTTGGAGGCAGGGATCCAGCCCCCGATATTCTGTTTAAGTGGATGACCTGCTAACTGATCCACAACCCCCAGCCTAAAATTACCTCCAACCACGCACTGATTTCAGGCCGGCATGATGGAAGTTAGAGTCTATTTCTGAACGTTGTACATATTAGGATTTCCAATCCAATTTTTTTATTATTATGGACGATGATGTCAGTTTAAATGATAACGTTTGTAAATCCAAAATAGTTGGATCAGACACTTTTACAGTTGTTGACCACTGTAATACATCACTATAGTAACTGTAGTGATGATACAATATAATGTTATACAGTACATAAGTAATGGTAGTCAGTTATCATGTCTAAAATAGAACCAGCTGTACTCCTAGTTTATTATCTGTGATTGAGAAAATTCTATTGATTTATACAAAAGATGGATGGATGGGTGGGTGGATGGATGATGGATGATGGATGATGGATGAGTTGGTGGATGGATGGATGGATGGGTGGGTATGCAGGCAGGTAGGTAGATTTTTTATTTGATTGATTGATTTATGGGAAATTACGGCTAATTTTAATACAGATATCTTTAAATATATATTCAACAAATGTTGTAAAAGACAAAAACAAAAAACAAAAAATCTGCCATATCACATTCTCAAAAAAAAAAGGTAAAGTGAAGCTAGGTGTAAACACAACCCTTAAACCAAGTTACCACATACAGCCACTATTTAAATTTCTCAACTGACTCATGTATGAAAGGGTGTCTTTTTTGGCTGCTGCCTCTTCTGGTGCAGCAGCCACAGCAGCTGTTTGCTGCTGAGTGGGTAAAAGCTTCTACCTGCTGCTGCTGGAAATGAGATTGATGGCAACGATGTGAGCCGCAGCAGTACATCTGTGAGCAAAACAATGAGCTGGAATTCAGTAAAACACTCAGTGGAGCCGAGGGAGACCTGCAGAGTCGGGTGATAATTCAAAATATTGATTAATGCAGCCTTAAAGGAAAAGTTTCAGAGTTTTTTTTGTTTTTTTTCCCCTTTTAAAGAAAGTCTCAAAGTAACTCTCACACCCGTCTGGGATTCACTGTGATGGAGTTGAACTGCTGCTTCGTAGGTTTCACAATGTGAACACGGCCCTGTTTATTCAACACAGACAAACTTACAGCAGCCAAACAGGAAACAACAATTGATGTGAATGATAAATAGCAGTTTAACAAAACAGCTGCTTCTTTGTTCTGAAAAAAAGAGAGAATTGTTCTTCAAGTTAAATGGAGGGTGAAGGGTGAGGATGTTGTCATTAGAACAAGAACAACTTTTATTCAATTAAAAATGTTTTCTCTGTTGTATGGACAGTGACTTCTGTCCACGATTGTTGCCACTAGCCGTATCTTGTTAGCTGTTTTAGCTATCTTAATCAGACCATAACCGTCATGGGTTATTTTTGGTCATCTCTCAATTGTTTCATGTCGACTACCGTCAAGGCTTGGACTTGGCTTGAGTTTTGGAGTTTTGTATTTTTCTAGCCATCTTTTAGCTATTTTTGAGCTCAGGTTTCGCTATGATGGAGCTAACGTTCACCTGTTTCCTGACTAAACTTAGTCAACATTGAGATGACTCTAAAGCAGGGGACTGCGGCTCCTTCCCTGGCCTGCAGACCACCCAGCTAAGGGCCGCAACTAGATTGCATTTGAATGAAATCTGTGGTTGTTTTTGCCCCTTTTTAATGAGATGGCAGACTGTTTTAGTCTTTGTTTCCTTTTAGTGTGTCTCAGTGTGTCTGTGTGTGCGCACATAAAAAGCAGGACCGTGAAAATTAGCTCCCTCCTGACGTCAGACCAACGGTAGCCTTATGATAACATTGTCTTTGAATCACACAGTCTGTCTCTGCAGCCTGAGCTGAGAAGATCAGTAATGATCGCAGCCTAAGAAAACTATTTAATCCTCTCTATGACAATTACAATTCATCTCGACTTGTGCGATTTACAAACCCATCCTACGAGGATCTCATTTATTTTATTGTTTTTTCATTACCGCTCTGGTCGAGGCACACGGCTGCTACCCCTCCTAGTGTCACATTCCCGCAGCTGCCATTTTTTTTCTCTACTGATTTTTTTAATGCGTCTTTTTAATAATAATACAGTAACCCTGCAGAATAGATTAGAATAAAAGAACAGGAGTGGGGAGGGATTTTTTCTTTTTTTTCTATTTTTGGACGCAGTTCACATTCTTCATGGACCGTTTGGCTGAAGAAATAATTCATCAATGAAATTGAATGACAACCAGGAGCAATGATCCTTGGTGGATCTTAGAAAAATCTTCATCAGGGCGAAGATGAAATTTTCATGAGCGGCTGACAGAGTGTGAAAGGACACAGTTTCTCTCTGATAAAATAAATGGGAAAGCACTAATGATGGAATTTATCTGGAATCAAAAGCTTTACTTCACAATCCTTTTACAGACAGCGCTCCTGTCAGACGACTCTCTGTTACTGAAGTGTCCTCTGCTTGAAAATAATTGATCGGCTTGGTCACAAAATGAGCGTCGTTATCAAAAGAAAGTCTACATTAAGACTCTACCTGGCTGTATTGTGTCATTTGTGTCTATTTTTTTTTTTGTTTTAGAGCAAGTGAAACTACTATTGTCTGTGGACTAAAATTACCCCTGCTTTTCAGTGAGAATGTGTTGGCTTCAGTTAGCACCAGCTGAAACGATACAAAAAAAAAAAACATCCACACAGAAACAAAACCGCACTGTTTTAAAGGATTGAAAACAACAGTCGTGTCCCTCAGCCCATAAAGAGGAAACATAGGTTAATAACAGCCTGGCCCTGAGACAGCCTCCAGACAGATAACACTGGCAGTAATATGACTTCCATGTCTGGAATCCTGCTTATTTTTACTGTGATATTGCACCAAACACCAGACACATGCCAGACGTCATTTGGTAGAATTATAAATCCCTGCCGTGCACAAGGACGAAGCTTCACTCCATGTGAAACAATACAGAATTTAACAAGTATCATTTGTCAGCCTCCAGGGATCAGGAAAGGACACTTTACCCACCTGTTTTATTTTCTGATAAATTATAGCCGCTTCACCACGTGACACAGATCCCATCAGAACTCTCCCACTGTTATGGCTCTGATGACTCAGACTAGCTCTGCTACGTTCGTTTTCACTCAGAATATCTCGCACCGATATCTTCTGGAAACCTGTCCGGTCCAGTCCTCGTATATTTAGTAATAATGAGGTTTCTCATGCCTAAGTGCCCGCAGAGTTCCCGCGGATGCTCGCCGGAATTAAGTAAATGCTTGTCGTAAATCCTCATCAACCCTAAAGGGAGCCCTGATTACAAAGTCATTATAGATGTTTCTTAGAGCAGCCACCGGGAGTGCGACGTGACTAAAGTCTAGGCCTTTTCTCTCCAGGGGGCACTGCATCACAGCAGAGAGGATTCCTGGGCTGCATCAGGACTCTGACAGTCAACGGAGTCAGCTTTGACCTAGAGGAAAGAGCCAGAATGACTCCCGGGGTGAGTTCCGGGTGTCCGGGTTACTGCAGTGGATCCAGCAGCCTCTGCCACAACAGGGGAAGGTGCATCGAGAAGAGCAACGGCTACATCTGCGACTGCTCCCAGTCTGCATACGGAGGAACTACCTGCAACCAGGGTGAGTTAGAGTGTTTAACAAACTGTTTTTCTGGGGACCCATATTTTAAAAGTCACAAACCTTTGCGACCCAAGTCAATAGACATTATTCATAAATCACAAAATAAAGGTGTACTTGACCGTTATTGATCAATGAGGATATTTCATTGTTGACCGAGTGATATCTGAAGAATTAGTATTACTAAAACAACGAAAAACAGTAACTGAACCAGCAAAAAAGGCATCCATAAGTCGGTGACTCCAACAAAAATCTCTTGCGACTCACCTCAGGGTTGCGACCCATTCTTTGGGAAACAATGCTGTATTAGGTCCAGCCTGTATGTAAAGGTTAAGGACAACTTTCTTGTTAGGCCGATACAGGTATCAATCCGATACCTTCTCCTCTCTCCAGTGTGCAGCAGTCTGCCATCCCATAGGTGATCGTATCCCTGTTTACACCATGTTGTCCAAAGTTAAGTTGAGCATTTGGGCTTATGTATCAAATCATTGTTGTTTTTTTTTTCTTTATGATTGATACTTAAATTTTGACCAATATCGGATCGCTACCACTCTTAAGTATGGGATCGAGCTATTCCTACTACAATTGAGAGTCATTGCAATGCCTGAAACATGGGAACCGATGGTTTTGAATCCAAATGTTCTATGTCAGTTCTGAGTCTAGGTCGTGGAAGAACGTACCTCAGCTTGTAAAGCAATGTTTCTAGGTCCGGTTTCTTGAGATTTCCATGTAAAATTTCTTCTGTACCAATTTCAGTTCTATCCTTCGTGATCAAAGCAAGTTAAAATCAACTAGGTCCTACCAGATTTACCAGTCAACTAGTAACTAGTAATTAGTCTGTATCTCACTAATCCAAACCATCTGTCTTGAATGAAGAAATAAACAAATGACCACATGTGTACTCATGTAAATATGCTGACTGGGTTTAGAGTGTTCTGCGTGATAATGTGCAATTAAATTATTTTGATTAGACTAAAGAAAATCGATCAATGTCAGGCTGATTCCACTGCAGCGCGCCAATAAAAATTCACGTGGAGCCAGGGACAATTAATACTTGTCCCAGGGCCAGACTCTAAGAAAATTTAAAATGCATTAGACCACATTATGTCCCACAGAACGTGAGACACGGAAGACCACGGACTGAAATGCTAAGAGAAAACATTTTTAAATAGAAAAAGAGTAGAAGAGTGATTAAACACTCTTACAGAAGACTAGGTGGAAAGAAAAAAAATCTTTGAACGATAACACATGGTCGATGGGATGTAATGTTAGATAATAACATGCTAACAATATAGTAGCTCAAAGAAGAAAGGAGGATCTTAGGATATATATATTTAACAGATGTTGACATTACTTACATATCATTGAAAGTTGTTTTGTACTTATTGTACAGTAAATGTCAAGCTAGTTAGCTTTTGCTAGCTTAGCTTATCTGCTTTTTTGGGTCAGTGTAACAGTATGTTTTAGCTGCTATATCCTCATGTTGTCCTTTTGTCTATAATGATTAGCTTGGTAATGTTTGGCTTCTTTTTGATTGTCATCTGCTCAATTTTAAAACTTTTTTTTTCTTTTCAAACCCTTCGGTTTGAACTTACAGATTTCGTATCTAAAACTGTAGTGTCTTAGTTGACCACAGGCTCGTTGGAAGCTACTTTCAGACCAGAAAACATGTACGTGGGAAGAGAAATGTCCAGTAAAGACATTCTAGAATTGTCAAATAGCTGAGAAAGCCAACATTAGAACAAGGCCGTCAATTCTGCGGTTCACCTGTCCAACCCAGACAGTCTCCTGCTCCCTTTGTCATTTGTCCAACTCCGGTGACTGTGTTGACCCACTTTTGAGGAACTTTTGATCTAAAAAGTTCTGTGGTCAAAAAAATAACGCCGTCTCCTACTTGATTTATAATATGATGAAAGTTTTTTTGTTTTTGTTTTTTTTGTCTAAAGAGCAGTTCTTCTGCTGACTGGATGAGACTATAAACTTTGTGAAGAGCTTTAAGTGTGTGACTCAAACATCGTCCTGGGGCAATAAAGAAATTGGGGTTGTTTTGTCCTGGTAACTATTCTTAACCCCTTAAATCTGAAGTTCTTAGCCCATTTTAGGCTAACTTTGTGTGCTAACCCCGTTTGTTGCTCCAACCTGTGGGAATAGAGCCTGTCTAAAAAGACAGGGCTTTGTTTGTAAAAATGTATATAAATAACTTTTAGTTAATGAAAAAACACTGGCCAAAGTGTACTTTTTGTTGAAGTTAAGTCCTTTTTAGTGAACATTTATCTATTTCTTGTACATGTTTTATCCTAGTTTTAATTCTCGAATTATTTTATATAATTTTTGGCTGTTTGCAGGCATATTTTTGTTTTTAATCTTTAATCTGTCTTTAAACAATACATACGTAACTATGTGGTAAACTGGTCTATTGCTTCTACTATTTTAGTTTTTACACTGACTTGTACTCCTGTCTCTCTTTCGGCTACCTTTTAGCTACCCTCTGCAGTGTGAACTGTCAAATGATGAAGTAGAACTGCCTTAAATGATCGGAAATTAGTATCCACACCTCATTTAAAGTCTGACGTGGCTCAGGAAAAGCAGACAAGACAAGGGGGGCTCAGGAAGAAGGCTCAGGAAAAGCAGACAAGACAAGGGATTTGTAGATGCTAGTGAAGCTATGTCAGATATCTTGTAGAAATTATTTGTGGGGTTAGTTCAGTTGGGTTTTTTTTTTCAGAGGCCATTTTGTCCTCAACTTAAACTAATTCCTCGCTCTTTTCTTCTTGTCACATCAAAACCCCCTTTTTTTTTCTAAACTCACCTCAAAGCCTGCGTGAAATCGTGGGTTGTTTTCCTCTGTGTTGTATTGTATCTCAGTGATGTTCTCACTTTCATGTTGCAGCTCTGTGATCAGACATGTGGCAGATTTCTCAGAGCTGACAACATTCTGACAGATCTTCCAACACGGTCTATGTTAAAGGCAGTCACAAACGTGAACGTGCGTTGCGTCACGAAAACAAAACCAAAACATCTTGAACACAAGTTTCGACCTTGTAAAAATACATGTTTTCACTTTGTGCGTGTCGGTCTTCAGAGCGGATGTAAATCTGTTTGCTTCTTTTTTTTTTTATGATATGTGGAGGATTTTGACAGTCAGAACTGAAACCAAGACAGCTCCTCTACTTCTTAGAGTAGTAGGCAGACACTTGTTTTAAAACATGCCACCCAGAGATGAGGGGCCGCCGAGCGGAGCAGCGGTCGTCTGCAGAATTATCCGCTTCAGTGGACGGATTCACACCTTCAGCTGTGAACGTGTTTCTGCAGCAATGGGACACAATAACGTGTTAGGTTGTTTTTGTAGCTCTGAAATACGTCTTTTAAAATACAGTTTGACCAAAAGGAACTCATAGACCCGTTTACTGGGTTTAAAAAAAATAAATTATAGTGACTTCATGAATTAATTGAAGCCAATAACACATAAATATATACTGTATGTTAAGTTATCAATTGATACATTTTTTTTACTTTTTTTATTTTTAAATATTTTAGTTTTCATGTTCTATTCCAACAATATGACTTGATGACAAAAGGAGCGTTTCAACACCAAGCATCTGCTTAGACAACGGAGGTGTCAGAGGCATCGACAGCACTTCACCACAATGTTCTCCTAACGTCCTTGTCATCGACTCCTCGGGGAGCAGCGTTTCTCACCAGCCTGTGACTGTCACCACTGAAAATCTTTTTTTCAGTTTTTTCTTTTTTCATTTCAACGAAAGTCTCATCATGCTAGGAAGTTTGTAGAATTAAATACTCATAAACAATGATGAACACAAACATGGCAAAACATTTGCTTTGGAAAAATGGAACTGGGTATGAAAAGGTTTGAAGAGCATAGAGTGAGTAAAAAAGATGAATAAAGGTTGGGGAAGAAAGAAACTAGAAAAGACGAAGGGGGCAGGGGTTAGCACAACAGATTAATAGAGTTTAATGAAAATGGCAGCAAAGGAAGGACAGGAGCCAAAGAAATGGAGCGAAAAGACAAAAAAGAAAGAGAAACATCAGGGATAAAAACATAGAAAAAGTGGAAATTAATCATCATCAACAAGAAAAATGCTGGATTTTTTTTTTACATTTGGCTCTTTGCTTATGAATTGGACTGACACCATGACTAATGCAACTACTTAAGGATACTTTGGTGCAGGTCAGTACGATGTCAGCACAGTTCTTAGGAACCTAAATCCATCAGGGAGTTAATGAAAGCCACATAATTAATGCAGTTAAAATAGCCTCCGGCTTAGCTGCACCCAGGAGGCTAACTTCGTACCATCTCAGTTGATAAGGTGACACAGATTCAAGTCTAGCTTCACATTTTCCAAAACCCTCATCCGAGGTCCAAGTGGCTGTCGGCTGAGCGCTGCCATCCCCACTTTCCCCATCTCCTCCTTGGGGTACCCCGGGGCCTTTTCAGACCAGATGAGATACATCGTTCTTTCAGCAAGCTCTGGGTCTAACCTGGGGTCTTCTCCCTGATGGAAAAAGCCCAGAAGATCTCCACAGGAAACCTCCCAGAAAGTACTGTATCTCCAGTCCTCACCTCAATGAGTTACTTCTGCTGCCAAGAGGAGCAGCAGCAGCTCCCTCCCGGAGCTCCCCCATGGAGCATTTCAGCTTCTCTTCATAACTCTGAAGATGATCACAGACGGTCTGCAGAGAAACCTGACATCTTTTGTCAGCTCCAGAGCATACGTGTTCTTTCTGGTACTTTTATAATAAAGTTATTCGAGCCAGAAAATTTCCCAAACTGTAACTCTTGCTCATTATCACCCAGTGGTTGGTAAAAGAAAAATCAACATCGTCCTAACTCTTTTAACACCTTGTATACTATTTCGTTTTTAGAATTTGTACCTTATTTTCTATCCTCAGCTCTGCTTCTGTTGGTGATTTTATTTTATTTTTTATTATACTGCGCTTTGTGTAAGCTACTGGATGCCTTAATTGTCCTTTAGGATCAATAAAGTATCTATCCATCCATCCATCCATCCATCCATCCATCCATCCATCCATCCATCCATCCATCCATCCATCCATCCATCCATCCATCCATCCATCCATCCATCCATCCATCCATCCATCCATCCATCCATCCATCCATCCATCCATCCATCCATCCATCCATCCTATACCGCCCGATACCAGAAGGTTAGGAGATCTGCTCATCACTCCTCATATCTCATGTATATAATCTGTGAAGATCTGATAAATCCTGAGGGAAAAAACTAACAAAAACATGCCCTGCTGTTGCCTTCATACACATTCACTAAAATAAGTGTTCAGAATGTTGGGCTCTAAAGGTCCTGAGCCTCTCAAGGTCGATCGGCAAGAGTAACAATCTGTGGTTCACACCACTCATCACATATCCTACGCCTGGATTAACGTATTTTTGAAATTCAAGCTTACCAAGGCCTTAATTCTGTTTATTCACTAACGTTGTTCAACCAGACATCCTATTGGACAGTCCAGCTATCAGTCACATGGTTGTCCTTCTTGGTATATTTTCCTCTATATTTCTTTTAAATCTCTGAGCAGTATTATTCCAGGTAAGGGAACAGTGATTGCGAGGTTCCGTGATTGCTGCACACACCACTGTTCTGTCTTTAAAAAGATGGCTCTGCTGCCGAGTTATTGGTACGGTACGACATGAACTATAATTTTGTAATCAGAAATCTATTTCGATTTTGGAAGGAAGCACACGAACCGGACAGAAATAGGGGTTTATTGTGGAACTGATGATCTAAGGTAATCTTTTCAGGCTCCCCTGATTTTAGCTTTCTTCACACCGTCGGAACTTTCTTTCTTTCTAACTGCCCTGTAATTGGTTTAAATTTTTTGCCACAGGCCACATTTTTCACAACAGAACTCCAGAGAAGATACATAGATCTAGTTTCTTCTCAATTTACATTTTGCCTACGAGGAGAAAAATTACAAATCGATACTGCTAGATAAAATGTGGCCCAGACCGGCTTTAAAGATGTATAGTGGAAACTGCAGCCTCTGTGGACTGTGAGCCTCATTTTACTCTTATTGTCTTTCAACGAAAGCAGTTGTAACAGAGCCACCTGTACTAAACAACTGTTTCTGTTCTTTGTCCTGGTGTGTGTGTGTGTGTGTGTGTGTTTTCAGAGGTGTCAGTGTCCTTTGACAGGGAGTCCTCGGTGACCTACACCTTCCAGGAACCATTCTCAGTGATGCAGAACCGAAGCTCTCAGGCCACCAGCGTTTCCACTGAGAGCAGCAGCAGGGCCAGGGAGGACGTGGCCTTCAGCTTCGTCACGTCACAGAGACCGGCCATGCTGCTGACCGTCAGCACCTTCAGCCACCAGTACATCGCTGTCATCCTGGCCAAGAACGGTACAATAATAACGTGGTTATATCTGAGGGTTGTCTCCAGTCTGCCTGCCAAGTAGGAGGGAAAAAAGTAAATTAGTCGCAGTTTAGTTTTTCCGAGTAAACACAAAATTCACCTTTCCGTAGTCAGAGCTAAACCGCTCCACTGTGTACTCTCTGATGGACTGATTTATTCCCATTATTTTGCATAAACTCTCATGAGATGCCCAAAAAACAGTGGAGAACATTTCGGCTCTGAAGGCATATAAATACAACAGTTATGTAAGCACGGGCTTTTGAAGCCTTTTTAGACTCACTTCATTACAAGGAGACAAATACTGGGATGAAAATGTTCTGTTTGACAACTGAATCACTCTTTGTTGCCCTCGCATCATCAGCACTTCAGTGAAAATGAAAATGATGGAAAAACATTTGCTTTATTTCATCTGCCTGTCAGGTACAGCACAACCTACAGTAGCTGTTTTTTTATTCCCTGGTTTTGTGACACATTAAGGTTTTAGTTTGGTTCGTTCTTTATTGTAATGTATTGCAGTTAATCATTTCGGCTATTTTTTTGACAGTTTCTTATTTTAACTATAAAGAGATAGATCTGGCCTTGGGGGACGGTTGTTGGTTTGTTTTCGTTGGTTGTTTGTTTTTGACAAATACAGTGGAACCTCGGTTGTCGAACGCCTCCCTTTTCAATTAATTCGCACCATAACTGGGTTGCCAAACAATACCAGGCAGGCAGCAAGTGATCACTGAGTGACTGAGGGCTCAGATATACACGCTAAGAACTGTTGAGGGATTTTGCCGGTATTTTTTTTAATCCATTTTACATTGATTCCAATAGGGAAAAAATGTTACAACGTTTTCAAACGTTTCGCATCACAATCGGCCTTCAGCAATTTTCTTGCCATTGACAATTTTTGCTACGCTCTTAGAATACCTTTTACCAGTTTTAGTTTGAGTCTATCAGAGTCATCACACAAATTTACAGAAAATAACACGCTAAACAAAAATACCTGGGTAAACAATGCAGTTTTGGAGAATAATTTGTAGGAGGGGAATAAACCCAAGCTGTTGTCTACCTTGTGCTCCTGAAAGATTTCTTTGTGCGTTTTCAACTCACACTGTAATTTTCACTCCCTGAACTTACAATTACATAATTAAATAGTCCTAAATCATCACATCTTAGGTTTAACATTCAAGTTGTTTTCATTTATTCAGAATTCACCTGATTTTCAAAGACTCGCTTATAATACAACTTCACCTTTATTGACATGGTGTTTTTATATTATAATTATTATTATTATTATTTCAAACCCCCAGCAGGAGGCAATTGCTCAAACATGTGCAGACAGGCTTTAAAAGCCTTGTGAAAATATGGTTTCCCTCCAGGGGGTCGAAGGCAGCTCTGAAATTAAACAAAACACGAGCTTCATACAATTTACCCCAGTATTGTTACATTTAATGAGACCAGTGCCAGGTGATGACATCATCACAGACAGATAATAATTAACTAGTAAACATTTCACATTAAAGGCACAGCAGATTCATTGATTTCTTACCACCTCCCAAGTGTTAGCTGTTAGCAAGTTAGTTTGTGATACGCAGTACTTCACATGTTGTACTTCATAATTGTTTGCCTAAAATGATTCAGTGGTCACTTGGTAATTTTGATGCGTTTCGCAGTTAGGTGGCACTGCCTTATAAGCGCTAATGCTAAAAGGCATCCATTGTGTACGACGTTTTGGTGCAGCATCTAATGTCTGTTCAGTTTTGTCTGTAAAATAGTCCGGTTTTGGTCAAACCAAGTTTAACTTAAAGAGTTCAGGTTGAGGACTTTGCATGTCTGATGCCTGTTAGGTGGTATTTCCTGTTATCACCCAGAACAAACCTCCGGTTTTGAGCCGTTAAGCCTCATCCAAATTTTAAAGCATGGTATTGGCTGACATTCAGTCCTAGCCAGCGTCCTAATGCACTGCTTCGTGTTAAACCTGGACAACCCACGTCCCCCTGGTCCTCTGTAAACACAGACTAGGACACCTGATCCGGCCATGATCGTCATCTGTAGGAGCACCTGGAGGATTTGAAATGAATCACAACACAAAGCTCTTCACCTACAGAGCAGGAATTGTAATATTGACCCCGCTCTGCTTGAAAACCCAGAGCTCTGTGATTCTTTGATCCAGCAGTAGCTGACAGTGTGTGTGTGTGTGTGTGTGTGTGTGTGGAACAGGGAGCACATATTGACTGATTCAGTGTGGGAGTGAAGAGCCATGAAATAAATATTTGTACATCTCTAAAGGCCATTGAAGAAGTTAATGCAGAAGAATCTATTTACAGAGGCAAACATTGTTTCAGTCTGCAGCTTTGTTGGCTGCTGCTGTTTGAGTTGTCCGAACATTATGAAGCTGTGGACACAAATAGTTATGCTGACGTGATCAAACTGAGACCCAGTGACCAATGTTTCATTTTGTTTATTTAATTGGAAAAGCCGCTCAAGACAGAATCTGCCGGCATTAAGTGAATTAGTTTGAGAACCTATGATTAACCAATCAGAGTAATGGACGGTGGACAAATGGCAGGGTGGAATGGGTGGAGACAAGTGTCAGTATATACAATGATATGCAACAGAAGAAATGCTGCAAAGTTGAAAGTTAAGATTTCTAAGTCAGTAGTGAGATCTGCTATGATGTATGGTTCAGCGACAGTGGTTCTGTCAAGCTAAAACAGCTATGACATTTTGGCAAAGCTATAATGAAAGTAAACTGTTCTTTACAACTAGCTTTACTTAGTTTAAGACATTGTTGCTGTTTTAGTCCTACGTTTCCTAATTAAATCGTTATACTGATAATAAATAGGTTTTACTTATTCAAAATAACATAATAATAATATAATGTTGCCTCATACTATTGGAGAATTCTGTGCAGAATTCAGTATGTGACACTATGTTTGCCTTATTTTGTCCAGCTATTAGCAATTTGTTAATTGTCTTAGGGGCTTTGCTAAGCCAATGCTAATGCTAAGTAAACACTAAGTAAAATTAGCTCCTTCATAGACCAAAACCCTTGGCATTTCCCTTGTCTTTTCGCCAACATTTTTTAGACAGTTGATATATATATATATTTTTTTTTTATCAAACTAATTAACACCACATTAGGTTTTATATTTTATTTAATTGCTTTTCTCCTTGTGCAGGGAGCCTGCAGATCTGGTATCACCTTCAAACAGACAGGAGACCGGACATTTTCAGCCCTGTTCCTAGCAACCTGGCAGATGGACGTCTTCACCGCATCAGGATCCACCGAGTGGGCAAAAACCTCTACGTGCAGGTGAGACACGGATGTGTGACTTCACCTCAGCATTAACTATTAAAAATCATCACTGTTTCTGTGTGAAACTGTCTTCCAGAACTCGGTGTTTAGCAAGCGAGAACTAAATCTGTCTTCCTGACACCGCCGTGTTGAAATAAAGACGGAGAAAAGTGTGTACTTTGTGTACACATAAACACACATACTCACACACAGCCCTGTTCCAGAGCAGAGGCCAGTGTCAACATTTCAACTATTTATAGAATAACTTAGCAACGAGGATAAAAAAGCAGTTCACGGTGCCTCGGGGTGAGAGTTTCAAGTCTGTTTTCACCCTTGACCACACACACATACATACTGAATACACACACACACGCAACCTGTTGTGCACTTTCACTTTCATTGCACTTAGATTCCGGCCACTGAAGCCTGCCAATGCTCTCACACGCCGCACTTATCACCATACTGCACAGACCATCTTATTGCTCTCTGGACAGCAGTGCACAGGATTTTAGTTTTATTTTTCACCAATGTTGCACATACAGCAGATGGATATGGCTAAATCTTTATTATGGAATTGGCCTCAAATGAGTTTTTCAAACGGTTTACTTTGCATTTCGCAGCCGGTGGCCTGGACTTAACCTCACGTGTCCAGACGTTAAAAAAAAAAAAGAAAATATAAAAAGACAACTTGAGAAACAGTGTGTTTTCTGCAGAATGTCATATTTCATTTGCATTAAATTCTTATGTGTTGGCCACAGATGTCGTAGTCAGTGACTCGGGTCGTTTTGGTTGGTCAGTAAATGTTTTCTCTTTGTCTTGATCTTTTTGATGAGCTCTTCAAAAACCTTACTCTGTAAAGTTGATGTGACTTAATTTGCAAATCTTGCCGTATTTTTTCCACAATTTAAACACATTGTATGATTATTTCCTGACTTAGTTTTCAAATTTTCATCATTAATCATCTGCGAGATTTCAGTTGTCCCCCAAAAACACTTTGTTAGTACAAATGTTCACAATCTGGACTTCAGAAAAAAAAAACCTACTTACCCATAAGACGTTTTAATAACTATAATCAAATGCACAGTTGTGTTAAACTGTAACGACAGGAAACACACTGCAGTTAGTTTCTGCCTCCTGAGGTTTCATCAGGTGATCTGATGTTGTACTGATTACATCAGTTTACTTTGGCATTTCATGTCACTGAATTGGAGCAGGGAAAATAGCCCACACTTTGCATCCACATATCATCGTTAGCGTCCTTATTAGGATCCTATTAGGAGTGTGTGTTCTTTATTTAAGAAAAAAAAGCTTTGAAGTGTTTTCTCTATCCGACATTTGTCTGACAGAATTAGCTCAGTGCTGCTGAAGAATATTTAGCTCTGGCTATGCCGCTCAGTTACACAGTAACTCTCACCTCCTCACGTGTGAACACCTGTTAGTTTCACAAGCAAGATTCCAACATTAACACGTGATGACAAGTTATTTATATCAAGTCGAATGGAAGACAGAGAGTTTGATTAAAGTTTTCTCAAATTTTAATATAGTCAGACTGCGTTTAAAAAGCATTATACAGGAGATTAAAATAACATACGCACCCATTAAGCTATTATATTAGCATATGACAGTGAGAAATATACTGGGGCTGCGATATGTGCACAGCCACTCATATTGGCTATGTCCATATGGCCATGTGCACCACCAAACAAAAATTATTTATGTATTGAAATAGTTTTAATTTATTTACTCAGTGTGAAACCTGAGCCCGTTTAGTTGAACACAACACTGATATAATCAGAGAAATTAAAGAAAGAGACAAAGATCAACTGTCTTTTATAATATAGTTTTATGTCATGTGTGAAAGGCCAGGCTCACATACAGTACTGTAGGTAGGTTGTGTACATCTGATGATCTTTTACACACACTAAGAGTGCAGGGGTTAAGGGTACAGTACCCTTGTTGAAGAGTGCAGGGGGTTAAGGGTACAGTACCCTTGTTGACCAATAGATGGCTAGCCCCAAAATACTAAAATGTGGCAGTTTGCAGTTTTCTGTCTGAATGTGAGTGTGAAGAGTTGTTTGTCAACATGCAGCCCTGTGATGGACTGCTCACCTCGGAATTACCTTCATCTCTGCCAGCGACTCTTTACAGTAAGAAACATTTGGTGGTGGATGTTTGTGTCTCTCACATCAAATCAGAAGTGGAGAGCCGTCCATTTCCTGTCGGAGCCTCACACTCCCCGCCACTTTGTACAACTCTGGTGTGTTTTATTAGCGGCTACTAGAGGAAATTGAAATCCTGTAGATCATCAAGTTAAGTAATGCCCGTGATTCAGCACAGTCTGGAGCTCAAAGCGCGGAGCAGGAACGGTCTAAATCACTTCCGAGCCAAACTGTGCTCGGATACGAACATGAGTCTCAATCTATAATGTATTGAAATGCTCTGCTGCTGTTGCTGCTGATGCTGGTGATGCTGCTGATGCTGCTGCTGGTGATGCTGCTGCTGGTGTTGGCTGGGTTCAGATTTCTTGTAATCGGCTTGTTATTTGATTTCCTTCCACTCAACCAGATCGACCAGGACATCCACAGAAAGTACACACTGTCATCTGATGCAGAGCTGATCCTAATCAGATCCCTGACATTGGGCAAAGTCACCAGTAAGTGCTTGCGTGACGTTTTCGAAGGTGTTCTGGGTGGTCTTCTGCTGCCCGTCCATTTTTCCGTTGCTGTGGTCAGGAAAGTTGTAAATGTTTCACCGTGTTTTCACAGGGAGGGAAACCTTCAACGAAGAGGTCATGCAGGCAGCTGCTAAAGGTTTCGTTGGCTGCCTCTCCTCGGTCCAGTTCAACCATGTGGCACCGCTGAAGGCCGCGCTAACAAATCGAGGGAGCTCATTGGTCACCATCCGTGGGCCCCTGGTTCAGTCGAATTGTGGAGCACTGGCAGAGTCAACCTCGCACATTCTGCAAGGTAAAACTAATCAACAAGTTGTCAGGTTACTCCAGAAGTAGCTAAAAGCTAGCCAAACCTTAGTGTACAGATAGCTTCGTGTTAGCTTAAAATAAAAAAAAAATTAAAACAAAAAAGTGAATGTTAGCAAAACAACAAAACATATACTCTACTAAAATAAGTAAGTACAAGTAGCACAAAATGGTAATGCTAATGCTATATTTAGCTAAGAATGGCTGGAAAACAAATAACGTTAGCCAATAATTTAGCAAAGGCTAAATCTGTTCGCGAGCTATGAGTCTGAAATATGAAGACTGAACGTGGAACTCATACAATCTGTCCCATTTTGGCCCACAAACCATACTTTGCATCAGATGTTTTGACTACCCGACAGAGTTGGCTGCAGCTTAGCAGTATGGTTGTGGGTTTGAATCTCGACTTTGCAGGTTATACCTATGTACTCCCAGGAAAAATCTGAAAACGATACATGAGAACTGAGAAACAGGTTTTATGATCGTACTGATGTGAAAAACTCAAATTTAACACAACTTTATTTTGTGGCTTTTGAACCCAGATTTATGAGACACAGGAAACATGAAACAATAACAATAAAAACCAAATGTCAACTCCCTCTGATTTCTGTTGTTTCCGAACACGTTGTGATTATTTTCTCCCTTTGCTCAGCTTATTTTCAGCTCGTAAAAACCCATTAGTCAAGCTTCATTATTGTCAGCGCTGAATTATTTAGGAGCTGTCTGCAAAAATTGTAGCATCTCTAGCTTCATACCCAAAAAACCGCAGATCAAATTTGACACGCAGTACTTTTTCCTAATAAGACAAATGAAATCAGATTTGAGAGGTCGGTGGAAAAAAAAAACTCAAACCCTACTCATGTTAGTTTTAATTTGAAATACAGGTTGTGTGATCATCTGTCACTATATCACAGTGACAGAGTTTGTAATGTAAGAAAATCCGCAGTTGTTTATAGAAGGAACCCGAAAATAAAACCTAAAAAACAAACACTGAGAATCACACTTGTTTTCTTTAGTGTAATAAATAAATAAATCAGTTTAAATGAAAACTGATTTTAAAAAGTGATGATTTTTCTCTCATCTTTCTCACAAAACAGATGTATTTCTGTTTTAATAGACGGAGCTGTCAGTCCGTTTCCACTGCCATGTCTCCCACTCGTACATGTGTTTCGGAGTTTATGCATCAAACTAACATGTATATTTATCATATTCAGAACAGATGCATCGTATTCGAGGCCTAATTAGAAGTTTCGCATGAGCTTAAGTTTTGACTTGAACCTCGAACGTCTCCATCAACAGCCATTAATAAGCATATCCTCCATAAGTCCGTCTCATTAGCTGATGTTCATGCAGGTGAAAAAGCGTGGCTAGAAAATGAAATGAAAGGTTTTTCAGTGTTTTGTGCTCGATGGAGGGCGAAGAGCTACTGTAAATAAAAGTAAATGCATAGAAATAAAAGATCCGTTTCCTAAAAGATATCATTAGTTTTGATGGATTTTCTGTCCGATGCAGCCATTACTTTAAAACAGAGTCATTTCTCATACTCAGGCCTGACAATTTGTTGTTTGGAATACAACAATTTATTACCACAATGTACGGCAAAGTACATGTGCTGCTGCCTTTGTCCAGTAGAGGGGGCTGTAGCAATGGTGCGTTTGTTTGTTTTTTTTCTAACTCATACGAGACAGGCTGAGACATTTTCATTTGTTTGTTTGTATTACTAACTCCCTAAAGTGTGACACGTGTCAACAAGTCTGATTAAAATACAGCCCCTAACACTGACATATCCTGTCTGTCAGTGACTCACTGATATATTTTTCAGACCTGTATCCCATGACTTGTCATTTCCGCTACAGCTCTACTGTCATTTTACAAATTTTTATAATTTTATTTGATTATTTATTTCATCAAATTTTAATTATTTTTATTGATTTTTTGCTTAGTTGCAACAATATCATTTAGACCTCCCTTAGTAATTTTTTAGAGAGTCAATGGTTTCACTGAAAGGCAATACAGCGTTTTTAACAGATATAATGATAAATTCGACCTGTACAATAAAAAGAAATATTTAAAATTATTATTATATATTTAATTATTTTAAATAGTATAAAAACATTCCCAATATATATATTTTTGCAACTGATTTTTCAGATAGAAGAATCTCTTCTATCTGTTCCTTCATCAGGGGGCGCTACAGTGATTTAGCAAATTTTGTAAGTCAGATCCGGCCCCCATTCCCAGATGACCAGATGGATTCAAACCACCACTCTATTTCTGTTCACAAGTGAAGGCATTAAAAATCCTGATTCCTTAAAAGAGTTTTAAGGTGGAATCTGCGCCAGCCACCGGCCCGGAGCCACGTCCGCTGTCAAATAACACCATTCACTTTGACACTTTGACACGGGTTAAAAGTGTTGACGCGTCACATGTCAAAGTCCCTCCACGGAGACATGTGGCATGTGACATGTGGGACTGACATGACTGACCGCAGGGTACGGAGACTCAAATGGATCGTTTGAAGGACGGAAGTTTGGTTCCTCTCACATTGAATGGACCTAAAGACCAGGCAGGAAAACAACAGTGTGAGTTATTCTCATATTTCTGCTTTTTTGTTTTGTTTTTTCAGATCAAGCCGTGACAGCCAATAAAGACAACGAGCAGCACAGCAGTGGCAGCCAGAGGGATTTGGCAGTGATCGCAGGTCTGTTTTTTTTTTGTTTTTTTGCTGTTGTTTGTTTGTTTTTCTAACTTATCTCTGCTGATTATTGCTTCATTTATTTATTTTTCCGTTTTTACGTCATTCTCTCCAAATTACCGAAACTCAAACTCCTCATCCAAACGTTCCTTCTCATCATTTCCCCGCCGCTGAACGCCGTCTGGCTTTGATTAAACTAATGAAGATAATGCTGCTGAAGTCGAGGGGTGTTTTATATTCTTCACACGCAACTCTGCCTGCATTTGAACTAAACTGTCCTAAAGATTAATTTGGGAGCGTGAAGCATGAATTAAAGGAATAGTTCAACATCTTCAGAGAAAAATCACAGCCCTTCAGGGCCTCCTGGATTCTTACGGCCAACTAGTCTGCTGTATTTGCAGGAACACTTATTTACTGATCAAATCGCCCGCCCCACAAATGCGAGGTGGGCGATTTTGAGTGGTTTTGAAGTGGCTTGGTAGCCTACCTTTGTTTCTGCTGCTATAAATTATACCGCCGGCCTGACTTCATGTAATGAACGTGACGTAATCACCATCTCTGGTCAGACTGTAAGTAGTCTGTAATTTTCCCAGCGAGCCAAGGGCCGAGTGTGGTCTCTAAGTGTAACATAAGAAAAAACACACAAGAAAGAACCATACATATAAACAGTATGTATATGTGTTTGTGTATAAACTGCCACAGGCTGCGCTGAAACAAATCCTCTATTACTGTATATATAAGGTCCGTCAGTGCATTTACATTTATATTTACATATATATGTATATATTTATATGTCCAGCCTGTGAACTGAGATAAATGACAGGAACAGTACACAGCCGAGGGCACTTCAACCAGACTGTCAGTTGTTATATAAAAATCTACTTCAATTAAAGCAGTGTGTGTAATTGACTGTGGCAGCTGTTAAAGTAACAAGATGGTGTTTGTAAGAACAGAAGTTAACACCTGAATACTTGATTGTTTCACCTCTGTCGTACTTTCAAAGTAAACAACAGAGCGTTCGTTTTTTTTTTATGTTTTGTTTTGACTTAGCGTCTATTGTTTCTCAGTCAGATTTTATATCGAAGAAACAGTCATGGCTGAAAGAACTGCATACTTAACCTGTTATTGGAACACGTAATACCAGGCTGAGCTCCAGAATGTATCCATCATCCCTGGGCTAGCTTAAAAAACATGACATTTAAAAGTCATGCATAAATGCTAAAATGCTTTTACGCCATCAATTGGGGAAATGCAGGCACTGCAGGGAAAAGGCAGAAGTGTTATGATAGAAATGAATAACAGAATTTAGACAAGTGTGGCGGCCCAGATTAAAAAGCCAAATGTGCCACATCCGGCCCCTGAGCCGTAGTTTGTTCATGCCTGCACTAGTTAAAGAATCTGGACTTTAGGGAGCAAATGTGGGCGTGTACCTATCATGAATGTACCCTCAGTCCAAATGTCACATTTTGCCTTCATAGACCAGACTATTTAAGATTCAATAAAGCCTTTTTATTTTGTCTACACCAACAACTTATTTTGACGAGCTCACATCACTTCCTTTTCTGGCTCTGAGCTGGAACCTCAGGTTTTCATTCACACCTGGGGTTTACCTAATGTTCGGTGCATCCGCAAATGTGAGCGATTTTGCACCAAAGTCTCCCCCCTGCTGTGTCTTCAGGTGTAGTCACAGCGGTGGTCTTCATCGCCGTGTGCGCCCTGGCCGTGATGAGCCGCCTGCTGTACCAGCAGCGACGGGCCCAGAGGACCGCCAGCAGCAGCAGCAGCATCAAAGAGGAGCACAGACACAGCATGTACACTGACTACAGGACTACAGAGCTGCAACTCCACAACTCAATCAGGGACAATATGAAGGAGTACTACATCTGACCACAGGGTGTGCACTTCCCACGGAGAGAAGAGGGGAGGGCCCGGAATGTCGCGAAAACGTACGTTACAGTGTGGTGAAAAGCTGACTGGGACATGGACGCAACTGTGGCTGCGGCATTTCCCACAGAGACGACAAACAAACTTTTGAATCTGAATCTTTTGCAGCTGTTAAGTGTATTAGATGTCGGTGAAACTGTCCAAAAATCCAGCTGCTGTGGTTTCTGTCGTGGCAAAAAAAAAAAAAAAAAAAAAATCACTGGACAGACGTTTGAAAAAACGAAAAAGTTGTGGACGCTCCCCCGTGCCCGTTGGGGCACAACCGGAAATACTTTTAGTTTGTTTGTGGAGGAAAACCTTCGATTGCTGAATATTTCCAATATTTCAGTGGGACTACATTCTACTCACAAGTCAGGAAATGTAGGCCAGGCTTGTAAGATACGCGCACGCTGCTGTCTTTTCTTTATTTTCCTTTACCTTCAGTGACGGTGAGTGTTTTTAGACCAAGAAAAGGGAGAAAATACTGCCTATACTGTACGAGTGCCTAATTTGCATATGTTTTTTTTTTCTCCTTATTTTGACATTTCTGAGGTCGTCCTTAATAATTTGCACAAAAAGGCAGTTGCATCTACCTATAGAAAGAGGTGACGTTCTGCACACTTCACCACGAAGTCAAAGGAAGAGGAGAGTCACGGAGGCTTTCACATTATTTACATTATTATTTTTTTCCTCCCACTCTATTTCTGGAGGTAGCATGGAGGCGGAAAAACCTCCACGTCTCAAAAACAAACCCCAAATCTTTCTGTTTACACTTCAGAACATTTCAGTTCTCAAGTCACCGTCCCGGCTACGTATTTATACATAGTCATGAAAAACGATTTATTTGAAGACTTGGGTTTTTATATTTATTCGATGATGCTAATTTTTTATTTGTGAATTCTTTTTTTTGTTTGTTTTTTGTTTTTTGTCTTTATTTGTGAATTCTTTTTTTTTGTTTTTTGTTTTTTGTTTTTTCATCACACTATAAATAAAAAAGCTTGTGTAAACTGTACCATGAGAGTAGCAGAATAAAGAAACTTGAGATGAGAGGTTTTTTTAGTACTTACCCGTTTCTGCAGGCAGCCAGGATCTACCGTGGACAAACGGCCGCGTCACAGTCGCACACGTGGAATGAAACGATGACGCTTCAAGGTCCCAGTTTTTCATGACAGTACACGCGCAGACAGGAGTTGTTACGCGCACACTGCATATGGAACCGTTCCAGCAGCAGAAGCACCAAACTGTGTGACCTCACGGCTCGCCCCACTACACTTTACTCGACGCTGTTAAAGGTCAGCTGTTTTTACTGCAGTTTTTATGGCGTTGGCGGCGGGCATACGATAAAGGTTGGACAAAAAAAAGTTGCAACTTGGGTTCAGCAAAATTGGACCCTGGCTCAGAGGAAAGAACGCACCGTATGGGCTGTCACTTTTTAAAGTCACACTTGAAGAGATTTTTCTTTCTTTTTTTCAGTAGATATTGGATTTTTGTTTGAACTCTGAATCACATTTCAGCCCCAGGCTCAGTAGAGTTAGCTTCACCACCCTGTGTTATGCATTTAACCTACCAGTAGTGTTAGCTGCATAAAGGAATAATCATTTAGCATGCTGTGTTGCTACACAAAGAAAGAAAAGAAAACCTCGACTGTACAAAAAGAAAACGTTAATGAGAATTTCTCCACTCTGCAGACGCTGTTTTTTTTCCTATCAAGAGCAAAGAAACGGAACAACAGCACTTGCCTTTTATTACCATCGCTTTTTACTCTTGGAAAGGGTGAGGAAGAAAAGTTGGAGAGTAAAAAATATTATATCAATTGAGAGTTGGCTAAAAATTCTCAGATGGAATAATTCCACTTTTACCAGATGGCAAATGAGTTTGGAGAAATGTGGCGCTAGCTCGCTAAAGAAAAACAAAGCATCTGTGTGAGCTGCAGTTTGACTGCCCTCTGCTGGAAATCTTGGGTTTTTGTCACTTTTTTAAAGTCACTCTCGTAGCTTTGGGGGTTAGAAGGTAGTTCCACCTACTTTTAAGAAGGAAATAGCTACAGCTAGCTAGCTCTCTCATTATCGAATGCCCCCTTTCCTCTGCAGATGCCCGCAGGAAACCTGGGGTGAAGTGTCTTGCCCGAGGGCACACCTGCTCGATTTAAACAGGGACACTGTGGTTGGGGGACTGACGTTCCTGCTGTACACGCTGTGTAAAATTTCAGATGAAAAATGACAGCCCTGCTGCATAAATAGCTCAGGACTTACCGCTACTAAAGATTAGCTTGTGCGTGACTTTGTCAACGTTAGCCAGTGGTGCTAATAAGGATTTCAATATTCATTTGAATCTAAAATCTGGCTTTTACTTTGCTCCGACAAAACCATATCAAGTCTAGCGCCACCTTGTGTTCCTGTAACATATTACACCTTCCAAAATATGTATGTACTCACCCAAAGGTTAACGTAAAGACTCTATTATACACATCATTACCAGCAAAGCTAATAAAATGGCAAAGTTGTACTTTTTACCCACTGTTCTTTCCACTTAGACTTAGGGAAACTTTTCAGAGGTCACTTTAAGCTATTAGACAGGAGTCAAATTGCTGCATTATGGGAAAATGGGCCTGAGATTAATGATGATATTTGCCCTAGATTTCCTCAGCTTTGCTCTGCATCATGAGATTTAACTCAACACTATTAGCATCAGCCATTGACTGGCAGGTAAGCTGGATTTTTGGGGATTTATTTAGGCAAAGCATTTTAGTTAAATGCGACCCGCCAGAAAAATAAAAGCAGGGCAGGAGTTTGGTTGTTGTAGGTGTTGGAGCCACGTCTTCTCTGGAACCTAAATTCTTGTATAAATTCCAAAGGATCTCCCATGTTTTAAACGTTTCCACCTTCTGTCATTTTCCCCCATCACAATATTACAGTTATCGGGTCGTTTCAACTTTTGCAGCAGCCACCCTGGCCAAATATGGTGGGGACCTGGTCCAAAGATGTGGGTCGTGGTCCCTCTTTGACACCGTTCCGTGCATGTCCTTGTAAACTAAATATGTCTCACGATGTGATGATCTGCAGACGTCCAGTATCAGAGAATGAGAACATACCTCTCCGAGTGCTTAGGTTATCATGGGTAATATCATGTGGGTACTTCTTAATGATTTGTATAGCTGCAGTTTTATTAAGGATCTATTGTATAGATGTATAATTTAATAATAAAAGTGAATATATTGTTACGCCTCTGTCTATGAAAAGGCCTGGATTTCTTTTCACTGTATATCATATTCATGTGACGAGTCTAAGGCTAATAGCCTGGATTTCTTTTCACTGCATTTAATTCAATATTCATGTGACGAGTCTAAGGCTAATGGAGCCCAGCAGCCAAAAGGTCACTGATCTACATTACAACTCAATATGATGATGATATATAATGTCATCTTACTAGCTACTTTGAAGTCAGGTTAGTGAGAATCAACCAAAGCTATAACAATTTGAATAAAATACAATAAAAGTAGATCAGATTAAGCAAATAATTCTAATGGACAAATTCGCTTGAAGCTACTTTGAAGTCAGGTTAGTGAGAATGATGATGATATATAATGTCATCTTACTAGCTACTTTGAAGTCAGGTTAGTGAGAATCAACCAAAGCTATACTTATATTAAGGTATGTTTGTTGTTAATGACAGGCAAAGGAAATTTAGACAAAATTATTTTTAAAAATTACCACTTTACAGAGAAGAGATTTTTAAATCATCCATAAGATCATGAAAAGTTAGCCAAAGAATCCAAATTTAGCTCGACCAAACAGACAGGTTACAGTGAGTTAAAGTCGTCAGAGTTAGGATACGATTTAGATAGATTAAAAAAACTAACTAAAACAGCCAAGACTACAGTCTGTTTCTGTAGTCTTCAACTGTCTTCATTTATTTATTTATAAAAAACATTTGTTTGTTGTTTAGTAAATATATTGCACTGCTGTAGGCGCCGTTTTTAAAGTGGTATCTTTAGCTCTTGATCTCTGATCATATCAGATTAGATTAGACTAGATTAAATTAGATAAATTAGAACTGTATTGAATACATTTGCAATGTAAATATATAATAGACAAAAGAAATGTATTAATACAAATATAACTGTGGTGTTGGTGTTTTTCTCTGTCCTGGTCTGTGGTTTCTGCTGCTGGTGTCCTCTCTCCACAGCTGCACTGAATCCAGAGCTGACGAGCCAGAGCACTGGAGGGCGTGGCCTCCAATTGAGGAAGGGCAGTGTTTAAGATGCAGCTCCAAACACTGACATGGAGTCAGAGTTTGGCTAACTTGTCTGATCTTCTCATGCTACAAAGTCATGCCTGTTCTTTTACTTGTTTTTGGTAGTAGTTTATATTTCTCAACATCAATTTTTTTCATAATGCTAGCCTAAATTGGGGAACCTTCTGGGTTTTTTTTTTCTTTGACCAATGCAATCTTTTTGCTTCTTCATTGCTTTTAGATTCCTTCCATCTTACCACTTAACTAGAAAGGCTGATTTTTATTTATTTATTTAATTAGGCTTACTGCTAAAAGCACCAGCATTCCTCTTGTGTTTTCACCGGCAATGTTTTCAAAAGGCCAGCAAGGGGGGGGGGGGAACGGACCCACTACCACATTCTTACATACGTTGTTTTGCAGCATTAAAATCAATAGCACTTAATTTTAACACCGAGGAAATCCTTCTGAGAACAGCGACCTTAAGAGCAGCTCTTTGTTCACGCACAGCTCCGTCTTCTGCTGACGCTGGAAGTCGGCGGTGTCGGAATGTGTGAAGAGCACAGGGACTTTGAAAGCTATCCAACAGGAGCCGGTAATGCACACAATCTACGGCTTAGCTTGAAATGTTTTTATATATATATTTATCAGTGGTATTAAGTGCCTGCATGAAGAAAAGTGAGAAAATGTCAGACTTTATGCCTTTACAGACTTTCAATGTTGGCTTTTTTACTCATAACAAAACCTAAGAGGCCATTTGTCCAAACAGTTCTGCAGATAACTGCACACTTTGAGTACTTGAGTGTCACCAGAGGATCCATGAATTCATGGCGGTCCTGTTTGTTTTTTGTTTTGTTTTTTTAAATAAACCCAGTAAATCTGATCCCGGTCTGCAGTCGGAGTAAATCTGCACATTCGTCCTTGTTATCAGAACGTCTCTCGGCTCTTGGAGCGGCTTTGAAATGCAGAGCTGGCCTCTTCCAGTGA